AAAAAAAAAAAAAGAAAAACTACAATCAAGGTCAAAATTTACTTGTGATTAAGTCACTAACCTTTGATACAAAAGAGCAGTGTCTGGGAATGACGCTTGGTTGCCCACAGTTAAGTGCTGTTAACTGTGTGTACAGAGCACCCTCTCGTGGCCATTTCCTGACATTACAGAAATGTATTCAAGCCTATGACCACCTGCCCAAATGTGAGATAGATGTAATTATAAATACATACGTATGTGTAGATAGATACATTCTAGCTTACAAAACAGTGGGAAAGTTCTTTAAAACTCGTATCTTTGCAAATTAAAAAAATAGTATAAAAACAATAAAATCAAAAATTCAACTCGTGGGGGGGGAGGGGAATTCAACCCCTGATCTAGACATAATAATATTAAAGGTTTCGATGCTGTCTGAAAAAGCTTTTTTCGCTATTACGTTTCAAGAACTGCCCTCGGCCATTAAGTACCTTTTTTTCTGTTTTATTGAAATCTAACTGACATACAACCCTATGCAGGCTTAAGGCTTACCACGTATGATGTGATGCTTTGATATACGTATGCGCTGCAAAATAATTACCACAATGAGGGTAATACATCTACCATTTCCATTGTTACCTTTCCTGTGTGCGTGTGTGTGTGTGTGTGAAAACCTAGTCTCTTAGCAGCTTTCACGTAAACAGTGCAGGACTAGCCATAGCCACCATGCTGCACATGACATCCCCCAGAACAAATTCATCTTATAACCACAAGTTTGTGCCTTTGGTCCCCTTCACCCCTTCTCCCCAGCTGCGCTCCTGATGCTGGAAACCACCAATCTACTCTAGGAGTTTGGCTCCTTTTTAGATTCCACGTATAAGTGAGATCATACAGTGTTTCTCTCTCTCTCTCTCTCTCTCTCTCTCTCTCTCTCTCTCTCTGACATATTTCATTGAGCATACTGCTCAAGGCTCATTCATCCATTTGTTCCAAATGGCAGGATTTCCTTCCTTCTATGGGTGAATAATTTTCTAATTGCATGAATACCCCACAACTCCTTTATCCATTCATCCATCGATGGACACTTCGGTGGTTGCCATGTCTTGGCCGTTGCAAACGACGCAGCAGGGAACGCGGGCAGGCGGGTATCTCTTCAAGATGGTGATTTCATTTCCTCCAGAAGTGGAACGGCCGGATCACATGGTGGTTCCATTTTTAATCTTCTGAGGCCCCTCCACACCCTTGTCCCCAGTGGCTGTGCCCATTCCCGTTCCCACCAGTGGCGCACAAGGGCTCCCTTTCCTCCACGATCTGCATTTCCCTGGCGATTCGTGAGGACTGATGTCGGCAACAGAATCGTTGCTCACCTGCGCTGCCTTCTCTTTTGGGTGAAGTGATACCGTCAGGTTAAAAAGGCCTTCAGGGAAACCCCCCGTCCTGCCGAGGGGCAGGAGGACCACCGGCGGGAGAAGCCCAGGATGGGCATTCATTCACTCTGCACCAGGCTAACTGAGCTCTGAGCAGCTCCCCCGAGGGAGACTACACCAGTCAGTCTCCTGAAAAACGAGGGCGTATTGCTCTCCCCAAACTGGGACAAAAACTACCACTTAGCACAGCAGGATGATCATTTCTGTCCGCACATCTATATCTACATCCACACCGATGTCTATCTACCCACCTCTGAATCTGGTTTCCTCCGGAGCAAGTCTCAGCAGCTGATCCACCGTAGCTCCTTCATAGAAAGCCCACAATGCCTCCCAGGGCCGCTCCAGGTACGGAACAGAAGAAAGAGAGAGAGAGAGAGAGAGAGAGAGAGAGAAATAGAGCTAAAGGCTGGGACCCGGGGTGGAATGGTAACAAAGGAGGAAACGGGGAGAAAGGAAGCAGAAGGGACCGCCGTTTACTGAGCCACTCTGCGACCACATCACACACACGGTTTCATTCCGTCTTCGCGACGGTCCTAGAAGGGAAGGACCATTTGCTTTTTCATTCCGGAGACATGGAAAGTAGGACTCTTCAAGTTTCATTGCCATATCCATGGTTACCCTCCGTAAGTGGCACAGCTGGGCTCTGGAGGCAGGTATCACTACAGAACCAACTATGGCAGACTGACCCTCGGGAAGAGAAGCAGCAGGACGCGGGGGAGGGAGGGCGGGAGGGAGGGAAGGGATGGGAATGGAAAGATGCCAACAATCGCTGACTGAGGGTCAGACTCATTCGTATCACACATCCTGAGCCAGAACTTCTTTTTCTAATTGCTCCCCGCTGTGGGACTCATGCTGATCCCCAAGCCAGGCTTGAGACTCCGTCAAGACCTCCTGCACCGATTCAGTGATGTCGCTAAGGCGATTCTGCAGGTCGCTGAAACTGTCCCGTGGACTTGCTGACATCCTGGAAAAGCCTGGCCGGCGAATGCTCTTGGAGGGAAAGGGAGAGAGGAACACCTCGAATGTTTCCCAGGTTAATGGTGGGTTGACCTCGGGTGGTCTGCTGATCACCTGCCCAACCAGAAAGCTCGACGGTGGCTCCATCATGTGAATGTTTAATGATGATTTGAGAGGACATAGAGTTAGGTTTGCTTCCCACAAATGGCTACTCTGAAGATCACAGAGACCAAGCATTGCCCGATCATGAGACCTGGTTCCAAAGAACAAAAAAAGAAAGAAAAGGAAAAAAGTTTCTCCACGAAAGGCGCGATGAATTCTCAGTTATCCTCTTAGACTGAAGAGAAACGGTCATCCAAGAATCTTGGGGGAAGAAGGGATGACCTTTAACCAGAAAACTCTTTATGTGCGCATACACACAAGCAATACTCCCACAGACTGCTGACAGACGAAGGAAGGAACCCGTTGTTAGTTCAAACATCCCTTTTGTGCCGAAGGTTATTCTGTCAGTGGATTTGCAAAGCATGTTTTGATAATCAATTGTCAGCGGAGAAGGAAGAGAAAAAATAAATAAGGCCCACCATGTAGGCAACGAGTGGGTACCAGTGTTTAGCCAATGTTAACTTGAAGGGATTCTATTCGGGCAGGAAGGCGGAGGAGATTACCCCCAAGACCCCTCCCCACACTGTAATAATGCCTGTTCATAGGACACTGACTTCTGGTTTCTGTCCCCACACAGACATTTTGAGAGGACACCAGCCTTGTCATCCTTCTTGTGAAACCTGCAATGAATCGGCGACCCTGTGCACTTCGTGTCCGAAAGGTCAGTGTGGAGGGTGACAAGGGGCGGAAGGGGCCGAGCCAATTTGCTGTCCCTTACGTACAGGTATCGGCATCTTTACGTAAAAGGTTTGCAGGACTCGATCTAGTCTCCTCATTATTCCTATCACAGGGAATGCAGGGACCCAAACAGTGACCTCTTGTAAAAACTTGCTCTCAGAGGCACCTGGCTGGCTCAGTCAGTAGAGCATGGAACTCTTGATCTCGGGGTGGTAAGTTTGAGGCCCACGTTGGGTGTAGAGATTACTGAAAAATGAAATCTTTATAAAAAAAAGCTGGCTTTCAAAGGAAAAAGAAAGAGAAAAGGAAAGAAAAGAAAAGGTTCTTATCCAAAGGCATGATGAGGCTATCTGTTGATTTTGCCACAGAATTTGTTAGGGTATCTGGGTACGTGACATTTCTAGAAGTTCCATTACTCCCCCCCCCCTTTTGTTTAGTGTTTTTTTTATTTTTGAGAGAGAGAGAGAGAGAGAGAGAGAGAGCACCAACGGGGTAAAGGCAGAGAAAGAGGGAGACAGAGGATCCAAAGCAGGCTCTGCACTGACAGCAGAGTCTGACAAGGGACTCGAACTCACAAACCATGAGATCATGACCCAAGCCAAAGTCGGATGCTTAACCGACTCGGCCACCCAGGGGCCCCTAGAAGTTCCATTACTCTTTAAAGTTCATTAGCCATGGGGTGCCTGGTGGCTCAGTCACTTAAGTGTCCAACTCTTGGTTTTGGCTCAGGTCGTGATCTCACGGCTGGTGAGTTCGAGCCCCGTGTCAGGCTCTGTGCTGACAGCATGGAGCCTGCTTGACATTCTCTCTCCCTGTCTCTCTCTGCCCCTCCCTGCTCATGCTCTCTCGAAAACTAACATTTTAATTAATTAATTAATTAGTTAATAATTAATTACTTCATGGACGTGTGTGCTGTTGGACCAGACATATGATGACTGTCTGATCTGCCTTCTTCCCTGGTTTTCTAGGCACGTATCTGTTGGCCCAGGCCTGTGTCTCCTCATGTCCCGAAGGCACATGGCCCTCGGTGACAAGTGGCAGCTGCGAGAACTGTCCGGAAGACTGTGCCTCCTGCTCTGGAGCCAATCTTTGCGGAAAGTGCCGGACTCGGCCAGACTTCCCTCTCTTCCTCCATGAAGGCAGGTGCTACACCAGATGTCCTGAGTAAGTGTCCCTCTTCCTTTCACGTCCAGGTCTGGTTCATCCTCCTGTACCTGGAGGACAATCCCTTCTCGCACCAAAGAAGCCCTGTCCCGTGTTCCTGGTCACAGAGCCGCCGAAAGTGTCCCCTCGCGACTCTGACATCACTGTTGGCTGCAGCAGCCAAAACATACAGAAGGCCAGATGCATGCTTCGCCCTGGTGACTGCTACATACACACATTTTCAGTCTTGCAAAAATACATTCTTTTTCCACCTTGTCTCTAGTTGCTTTTTTCCCATCACAAGAGTCAGACTGTGATGGGCTGTGAATACATGAATGAATCTCTTCTTCTGAAATGTTTATAGTAGGTGAGGTAGGAGGTCTACATCATAAATATAGAATAATACCTGGTTAATTATTTATTGATTCCTCATGGTTCCCTCGGTCCCCTGGTTTCTAATTCCTTCTCTCTTCCCATCAGTGGCTCTACCTCCAGGATTTAACAGGGAAGCGGAAAACATCAAATGGAAAAGTATATCAGGAAACTTACAGTGACGAACAACAGAAATCCTAGGTAGAATCCTAAGTAGAAGTGTCCATCCTGAGACAAAATGGGGTAGATTTTGTCACGTAACAAGGAGTTTAGAAATCCAGCGTTGGTTACGTGAGTGGCCAACGCTTCGTTGAAAACCCACAACCTTTACATTTTGCTCTTGGATCGCGCTTAGCCTGTCCTCCCCGGAGCCCCTTCACATCTCATTAGCCAGAAGGCATCACTTGCATTTCCAAAACCGATCTCGGTCAAGAGGGATGGACACAGAAGGATCGGTTTAGGCTAAACACGGTTCACCCCTGGATACCCCCATAAAATCAGAACCCTGACAGCCAGGCAGACTGGAAAGAGGAAGGCACGAGAAAAGTTCGGGGACGTGACCGACAGAATCTGTTGTGAGGAATTCGAAATTTCATTTGTTCACTGATTCAAAAGAACTCGATGACAGATCCACAAGATCCATCTCAGTAGTGGAGAGAGCGAGAGCAGTAGTATCTGTATCCACTACTGAGACAGAGCCTGTAGGTACAGTCATAAGTCACGGTACTCCAGGAGCTCCCAGTCTAGCAGAGAAGCCAAACACATTCAACTCAATTCCGCCGATAAATATTTAGCACCTACTAGGTGTTGAGAATCGCTATCGGAAGCTAAGGTATGAGCAACTGAAGGAAGTCTGAGCCTGCAAAAGGCTTACAATCCAGTAGGGGAGGTTTATATCAACGAGTGTCATCCTTCTCAGGGCCTAAATACACAAAAGGCGAAGACATTCCCAGGGAAAGGAAACCACGTAAAAACAGCTACTTGTCGAGTCTTGTGATGTCCCGACACCGTGCTAAGGGCTTCCAATGTATGACCTCACTAATCCTCGCAAGAATCTTTTCTGCTGTTTTCTGCTGTTTCGAGAACGAGGTAGCATGCCAGGATCACAGAGCTAATCCCTGGTATGGCGAGGATTTTACCCCAAATCTCTCTAGCACTTAAATGTATGTGCTTAGTCATCACACAATGCCACCTTCTCATCTAACTGGGGTTTCTTTTTTTCAAGAACAGCTTACATATAATTTAACACCACGCAATTCCTTCATGCCAAGCGTACAATTCAATGGCTTTTGGGATATTGCCGGAGTTGTGTAATCATCACCACAATCCATTTTAAGATACTTTCATCACCCCAAAAAAGAAACTCCGAATTTCCCCCATCCCTAAACAACCACTAATTTACCTTCTGTCTCAATAGATTTGCCTTTTCCTTGATATTTCACAAAAATAGAACCCTACAAAATGTGATCTTTCGGGCCGGTTTCCTTCACTTAGCGTATTTTCAAGGCTCCTCTCCAGCTGGGTATTTGAGAAGAGGCTTAAGAGTGAATAGCTCTTAAAGCATTTTGTCAGGCAGACAATAGGGGAAGGGAAGGAAACCGTCAGGGTAAGAGAAGCCGGGGAGGGAAGGAAGGATGATGCAAGAGAGAGTCAGAAAACTCCCAGCCCAGCCGTTTCAACAACCACGCTCCAGCCTCAGCAAAGCTAGCCTAGACAAGAGAGAAAAACGAAGGTGAAGCCCCGTAACCTACTTCCCAAAGTCCATCACTGCCTCTTCGTTAACCTCTGCCATGGTGGGACTCAACCGACTGCTGTTATCGTCACCTTACTTATTTAATCATTCCCACCCTTTGCCAACTCCATCTTGGATTCTTTGAACGTTACGGGAATTGATAATGCAGTAAAGCGAAGAAGGAGGAGCAGCGTTTGGCCTCCCTCCAGTGAGCTGGTGGCTCAACGCTACCCCAAACCAGGATCGAGCTGCTCCTTGAAGCAATGGGACACCATGCAGATACACAGCAGCCAAGATATTCTGTATTTTTTGAGCGGTAGGGAAGCCACCGACATGGCCCAAAAGTCCTGTAGGCTACAGAATCGTGAGCATGTGCCCTCTGCTTTGAGTAGGGTGGGTTCCTTCCAGTAGCCCCACCCCCCCATTCTTGTGTTTATAAAAAAAAAACAACAGGGAAGATAAAGCCTGAGGAACTTATAATATCTAGCTTGGCTTGGTGGCTTTGTTGCTATTTCTGAGAAAACACCCTTACGGGTGCAACCCATCCTCCAACAGCAGTCAGACTTAGACCAGGACTACAACCTGCAGTGAAATGGCCGCCAAATATTCAGAATTACTTACAAGTCAACCGTAGTGGCCACGACTTTTTCAAATATGGTACATGCTCATGAAAGAGGAAAGCCTGAGTAGCAGCATACATCATTTACAGCGATTGTTTAAAAGGCGACCAAAGGGGCGCCTGGGTGGCGCAGTCGGTTGAGCGTCCGACTTCAGCCAGGTCACGATCTCGCGGTCCGTGAGTTCGAGCCCCGCGTCAGGCTCTGGGCTGATGGCTCGGAGCCTGGAGCCTGTTTCCGATTCTGTGTCTCCCTCTCTCTCTGCCCCTCCCCCGTTCATGCTCTGTCTCTCTCTGTCCCAAAAATAAATAAATGTTGAAAAAAAAAAAATTTTAAAAGGCGACCAAAAAAAAAACCAAAGTGTGCTCAAATTCACCAAATAGGAATGATTTGAAACTCCGATGGCAGGAAAACAATCTTCCGTCAAGCGCTGGCTCTCACTGTCTTAGGTGTCCATAGAAACCAGGTAAAGCTCCACAACCACACAGCTCTTGTGACATACATGTATCTGGGTCAAACAACCTCCATATAAAGTACTTTGAAATTAACAATGTAATACAAATGGCCATTTCTTCTCCAAAGAGATATTCTTTTTCTTCTTAAATGAAAATAACAGGGAAGTAAAGCATTAACAACAAAAAAGAAAGTTTTGTAAAGGTGAGGAGAACATAGCAGGACCAAGTACTGGGCAGGTCTGTGGAGAGAAGGCTGCTTTTAGCAAAGGGGTTCTGCAGAAGAACCTTCCGGCTGATTCCCAACAAGTTCCTGAGATTTACGTGTTTTTCAGTTAGCAGTTATCTTCAATAGTGTGTGTGTGTGTGTGTGTGTGTGCGTGCTTTCTTTTTACCATTTGAAGTGAATCAAATTTTATGCTAGTGAGGAATCACTAAACAAAATATTGAAAAAATAATATCCAATTAAAAAAATTTTTTTAATATTTATTTTTGAGAGAGAGAGAGAGAGAGAGAGAGCGCGCGGGGGTGGGGGGTGCAAAGAGAGAGGGGGACAGAGGATCCCAAGCAGGCTCTGTGCTGACAGCAGAGAGCCTGATGTGGGGCTCAAACTCACAAACTGTGAGATCATGACCTGAGCTGGAGTCAGATGCTTAATTGACCGAGCCACCCAAAGAAATAGCATCCATCTGAATCTTTCTCATATCCCATCCCTTGGACGTTTTTCTGTTCCTCCTCATTCTTCTGTGTTTTAGACTCTTGTGATTATCTTGACGCAAACTTGACCCGACCTGCTTAACATTTTGTGTTCTTTTTTGACTGAATCCATTCCTTTTACGTTAGCATCTCATAGGACATCCACTGACTCCCCTAGGAGAAGAATCTGGAACAGGTTCTTGGTGCTGCACCTTTTCAAACTCTATACTCGAACCGCTCGTGTTCAGTGTCCAGAAACAATTCTGTAAGGACCTTGGCCAGGCAGAGCGCTGAAAATCCCCCAGAGGTCAAGTGATAGCACATGAACCAAAGCCTCCAACCTCTAAGCACAAGACTGGCTCCTCAGTCAGTCCCCCTCCTAAACTACAGTGTGGCTGGCCCCACCCTGAGTCATTCCTTTCTTCAAAGGATCAAATGTGGTCTGTTGGGTCTCAAGGAATAACAAGGACATTCACACCCCTTGGGAAATTCCAAGAGTTTAGAAGTTAGCTGGGGAGGAAAGCCAGGCTTCTCTTTGGGTGAGGCCAAAGCCCTCACCACGTACACAGAAACAACGAACCCATGAAACTCTCATTCAGGTAGAAGACGTGACATGCTTGAGAATGCACTCAATTTCCTTACCTTCAAATTTCTCAAATTCAGTCAAGCTCTTGTTGGGCATGTAACACATTTCTACCCACTGTCCTGCCAAATTCACTTTTAAGAGACTGACGTGGCTGGACACAGTTGCATTGGCTTTGACTCCTCCCCACTGTGGACCAAACCAGCTAAGATACTCGTGCATAAGGAAGCCTGGTCCTGGCTTTCATCTGGATTCTACTGAGTTCTTCCTCTTCTGCTAAACTGCTTCTCCTCCAATTTTTCTTTCTCGCAACCACATAAGGTACGTGACTTTTATTCACGCCTGTCCTATTTTGTCCTGTTTCTTCCTGATACATTCAATACGTTTTTGCTTACTGAATAAATACCAAGGGAGAGCTGAAAGAACGATTAGATAGATGTAAAATGCCTTAATTAATTAAGACATCAAGTAAAGACGCCGGGCAGGATCCCTGATTGGCGTTCGGATTCAGACGTGACTCTAGGATATTGAGCAGTTGCTGCAATTTTTCACCCTTCCGTGGATCCGTGTCCTCTGCTTGTCAATCTGCAGCAACTCCCACGGAGACAGAATGGACTTCCCTGACCCTTGACTTTGGCCAGGGTTGATTTAGCCAACGGGATGTTAGCAGAAGGCAAGCAGAGGCTTAAAACGGGTGTGCCTGGATGAACCTGCCCCCTCGCGCTTCTGCCGTGACTAAGAGAAGAACGTGCCCCACGAGGTCCCTGTGCCAGGGAGGACAAAGTGACGTGAAGACGACCTGGGCCTAGTGCGCACCTTGGGGCCAAGCCTCCTTCCCCGGAGCACATGCCTGAGCTCTTCTAGTACAGTGACACGAGTTTCTCTGAGCATAAGCTCAGCCTAAATCTGGCTTCCCCACAGACAGACAAGGGATGAGCCCTGGGGTGTTTTGTTACACGGCGATAACTGACTAACGGAATGCAAATCACAGAAAACAACTGGAATAGGTACCTATGACATCGGAAGCCCACGTTCTCTATACTGGTTTATGATTTCCCTGCTTCTGCAAGTTCCAGCTCTTGCCTTCAGCTTTTTTCGTCAAAGAAACGACCTCTATTCCCCTCGTCTTCCGAACAGATTGGAAAAGGTTGAGGCTTTCAGATTTGCTGTGCTCACTGAGCAGTGAGAGATTTCTATGGCACGATAATTTCATCATGCAGGTGTACAACGTATATACAGACATCAGATTCCACCTGGAAGAAAGCCAATCAGATAAACATACATTCCAATAACAGCGACTCCAAATACGTTTGCTGCTGTGTGGAAAGACCGGACGTGTGTGTTTCACGGAAGCCCCCAGAGGTTGGCTGAGAGCAGTCAGAAGCAAAAGTGGTTCCAGTCTGACAGGGCCTTAAGCCTTGTGAGCCTTTTAAAAACAGTTGTTTAACTTAACTATTAACATTGCATATTAGGTATCAAGGTAAGTAATCTCTTAAATTAAAATTCTTCATTAAAAAATGGATTGAATAAATACGTTTTCTCCTCGAACGTTAGACTCTGACTTCAAAAAAAAAAAGAAAAATGATGGGGCACCGGGGTGGCTCGGTCGGTTGAGCAACCCGACTTCAGCTCAGGTCACGATCAGTCACGATCTCACAGTTTGTGAGTTCGAGCCCTGCGTTGGGCACGTTGCTGTCAGCACAGAGCCCACTGCATATTCTGTCTCCCTCTCTCCGTGGGGCTCCCCGGCTCGTGCTCTCTCTCAAAAATAAATGAACCTCTTAAATAAAGAAAAAAAAGAAAAAAAAAAGGAAGTAAAATGGGGACATCAGAAGATGGCTAAACTATATACAAATGAACAAAAGTCGTTTCCAAACAAACCAAATTCGCAGGGATAGTACCTAGGACTTTCACTTGATCTTCCCACATTTGATCTCTGCCCGCACTCCCTCGGGAAGCTGACGGACTCATCCTGCCCGACAGCACGAGCAGCGCCTCTGGTTTGCTCAGCCCCAAACCCTCTGCCACCAGGCGTGGCTCACTTCCCTAGTGGGAAGGCTTCTCCAGTTGTGCCCTGTCCTCCCCACAGGGGCTTCTACGCAGAAGACAGCACATGTAGGCGCTGCAGCGCCCCCTGCAGAACATGTGAAGGAAATGCCACCAGCTGCCGTTCTTGCCAAGGAGGCTTCGTCTTGGACCAGGGAGCATGCCGGGAAACCTGCCCCGAGAGGCACGTGGCCATGGAC